AAGAGCAATATCTAATATGTACAGTGAGCTCTCAAGAACTGATTCTTCTCAGAAAACGTTGTGAAATTGAGGGTCTCCCTGCCCTTACCTCTACATAAAAGAGAGAAATAAAGATTCACGACTCATTCGCGTTGCAAGGCAACATAGCACAAGCATCCAATGGGAACAATCTTGCAATTTATCGTTGTATTATTTCTCAAGATTTGTGCTAGAACCCGAATAAGATTCGTAGCTATATTTTATTTAGCATACGGTCCGCTAAGTTCAAGTTGCCTTAACGCGATTTTTACTATTTTTTCCCTCTGAATAGATGTTATTTTAGTTTCTAATATATTCATTTCTATTTTTTTTCCCTTGTGAATCAATACCTACCCAGTAAATAGCATCGATAATTATTTCTTAGGTCATCTACAATAAAGGTTCTTAACTGTTTTTAAATATAAAATTTGGTTATTATGAATTTTATCATCAGTATTTAGTAGCCGAAGAATTTTAAGTGTATTGAAACTACAGGTATTTCTTTTCCTTCTTTAATTTACGTAGTAATTATGGGTTGGACACAATAAAAAATAAAAAACATTAAAGCTCCAGTCAAGTAGTGTAAGGAATTTTTTTTAAAAAAAAGCCAAAACTTTAAATCGAATGAGATAAGTGATTAACTTTTGGCTCTCTTGACTTTAAATGGTGCCGTCGCGTGAACACACCGGATATGATCAACCTACACGCATCATTCGCAGAGCACGCTTTGTTGCGTTACTCGGTCCCCGTGAGACTCCTACTGCAACAATAGGGGCTCTGTCCAGATCATACATGTATGCATTCATTCCCTCACTTTACCTTTTCCTTGTTCAACAACAAAGATAAATTCTGTGCAATAATTTTTAGGGGTTTCTTTGAAGAGAAAAAAAAAAACCTATGCACTTATACTATTTTAATCACACTATTTTAGGGGTTTTAATTAATCACTCATACTATACAAACATACCCTCACTTTTACACCGACACCGACACTGCAAATCCATTAAACCCATATTTAAAACCCCCTTAATCTCTCTATTACATCATATTTTTCACTTAATCCCCCTGCCCACGATATGCATCACAAAGACAATAGCATCAAATAAGACCGACAAGAAAAAGATAAAAGAGAGGAATTTCGATGTTCAGATTTTATTTATTCCAACCTATATCCATAAATTCACACAATCTCAACTCTTTTAAATCCTCCATACAAAGTAAAAATACATTGTAATGTATCTAATATTTTCTTTTTTGTTTCATTGAAAATGTGCCAATGATCTACGTGGAGGAATTGTAGAAATTCCCTTGATCAGTTCCAACACAAAAAGATAACAAAAAAAAAAGGTTCATAAACCAAACTACGCAAAACACTATCTTATTAAACATAGCTATAAAATGCAAGTGAAAGGATTCCGATGGCCAAACCCATCGCACCAAAAGCACCCCTTAGAGCAATCAATGGGGAAGCATTGCTGGGAGAAGGTGCAGGCACATGGGAAGCTTGAACTGTTGGAGAGGCCAAAGCTGAAGGAGTAGGTGCCTCTGCAGAAACCCTGAGCACGTTAATATCAACCTTTTGTCCTGCTTCGCAATGACCAGGGACACCACAGAAGAAGAAGTGGTGACCATGGTTGGTTATGTGGATGGAGTCATTGCCAGTGCTGAAGGTGGAAATAGGGGATGATGCGTTGCATGACTTGTACATAGCATGCGTCACTCGCATCACGTTATGGAATTTGGCGTTGTATTCAAATACTGAAAAAAAATAATAATACAAATCACCAACAGTTTGAATTCTGTTCCTACTTATAGTCGTAATTAAGCAAAGGGCATGCTCTATGATGATTTTGGTTTGAGTGTTTATGAAATATACTATATAAATGTCCGCGATGAGGCCAACAATCTCATTGCACGTTGTTTTGTTTCTTCATCTAAAAGAGTTGGTGCAGAGCACCAGAGCACAAAAAGTTAATGCCAGTGTGAAGTGGTGGGTCATGCTGGTTTTCTACCGTCATGAAACTGATGTGTAAAAGGCTCTTATATAAGAATAAAAACCATAAGACGAAAAAAATTGTATAGATGACTAACAACCAAGAGTTTTATGTAGGGGCCCCCCTTGAACACATACTTTATCTTAGTAATAAAGAGAAGCAACATTAAAAGTAGAAATTCTTGCCATGGAAGTGCAATTGTGGGGTACTTTATGCAGAAACAAGAAATTGAAGTTTTCAACACGGAACTAGGCATTGTTAGAAAAAAGGGTATCCTGGAATTGTAAAATAGTGTCAGCATTGTTTGGTGAAGAGGGCTAGACACAATGCAATCTTTTTAACTCATTTTATTATTCATTGAAATTTATTGAAAACTAAAATCATGTAGTCTAGCTAAATAAAAAGTGAGACCTGTAAAATTTTGTGAATTTTAATAAATTTTACTCAATTATGTATTATTAGCATGTTTCAATGTTTGTTTTCTTATCATTCTGAAGAGAAAGTGCAGAACTATCAAAGTGATTTGAACTGATCTGCTAAAAATGAATAAAAAGCAACACAAATACGTAAAAAAAAGCATGCAATTGGAGTGAGGAAACATACTGATAGAGTCACCAATTTGGAAGTTCTTGGTAGCAGCCCACTTCCTGTAGTCTATGTTGCCAAGGGTAGTCCAGCCAGCAGAGTCTCCAACCTTGTAAACCGCTGCATATGAAACCTGCACAGCTGCCATCACCATGAACAAAACCACACCTGTCTCTACAAAAGCCATGGTTTTAACTTTTAAGCCCTTCCCTTGAGAGATGTTTCTTATTGTGTCTCCCTTTTGCTGAGGTTGAGGTCTTTATATATCCTTTTGACTACCTGCCTTGGAAGGAGTTGGGTGTTGGAACTCTAAGAATAGCAAAGTGGATCAATTGGTCGCTTTCTTTTTCTTTAATTAATTGGTTTGTTTGATGAAAACCTCATCTTTGTTACTACTGTTTAGAAAAGGGAAATGTGGCCTGCATAATCTCATTAATCTCACTGCCTTCATGGTAGCGGTGGGTCTCCCTCATAAGTGCTCCACTCTCCTACCTTCTTCTTCTTTTTTATTTATTTATTTATTTATTTTTATAATCTTTTGTCCCTTGTTTTAACGTTGCCACATCTAACGATTCGTTGATTTAACTTTTTTTTTTTACGAAAATAGTTTATACAATAATTCTAACAATTAAAGATTAATATGTATTTGTAGTATAATTTTAATATTGATAAAAATTAATTATTAAAAAATATAATAAAAAACATTTTTATTAAAAACAAATGGCCTATAGAAAAGATACATATTATACTTAAATGTTGATAGGGATGAGCACAAAACCGAGACCCAAAATCGAACCCGAAAAACTCGATAAAAAATATTATTTTTGGGTGGATTTTATGGGTAAATCGGGTTAAAATTTTGATTTTATATGAGTTATATTGGGTGGGTTTGGTTTTGAATTTTTAAACCTGCTAAAAATCGAACCCAACTGAAAATGAGATACGTTTAGATTTTTATTACTTTTGTATAACTAAACAACAATGGTCCAAACTCAAAAGTCTTTATTTTAAGTATAATATAGCCATCAATTTGTAACTTTTTTTTTTTTTTTCTGTTTCTCATAATCTAGATGTTTCTTTTGTCTTCTCCTTTCTCATTTAACTTCTCAACACACTAGTCCATTTTTAGAGTTTTCTTTTTGTTTCTTTCTTTGTCTTTATTTTCCATCTTCTTATCTCCATTTTGAGTACAACTTATGCGGTTATGATTTCTTATGAGTTTTGTAACCTAATTTTAGATTTCTTTTGCATGTAACAACTATGAATTTTGTTATCTTTTGTTTTTACTTCTTTAGTTTGTGAATGTTTCATCTATATATGAATCTACTTATACCATCTATTGTCACCTTCATTCTATTTTTGTACACTATTTTAAAAATATATTTTTTTACCGTTTTAAGCTATAACTTCGTTAAGATAACTTAATCTACAAAAAACTTTTAACCCGATTGTACCCACCCGCTCAAATCCGAATCCATTTCAACCCGAACCGCTTCAAACTGAAAGCTCAGTCAGTCGGGTATAAGTTACATTTTTCCAAAGTCGATTTACAATGGGTTGAACATTTTTCACCTGAACTCGACCGAACCCACCCATTACTCTCTCGTAAATGTTGAGTTAGACGGAAAATTATTAAGTAGTCTTGAATCACATAATTCATAATTAGTATTAATTTTATTTCTATATATAAGATCAAATTACTTAATTTTTTAAAAAGAATAGATAATTTAGTTAATAACAATAAATTATATATATACATATATATATATATATGTTTTATAAAATTATTCTTATTTTTTTCTAATTAATACATATATATTCCCTAACCAATTAGATTGTATATCCTATATTATTTATTTATATTTATTTTTTCTAATTAATATTTGTTTTTCTTCTAACTGTATGTTTTTTAAAGAAATTATAATTAATGTATTTTATCAAATTAAGAAAACTACTTTAATTATAAATATTTTAGTCTAAAAATAATTAATATATGAGACAATAAGAATTAATTTTGTATAAAAGAATAAATAATTATTTAAAGTTAAGTCTTATAAATATCATATAGTGTTATTAAATTTTATGGTAGATTAAAAAACTTAAATATATGATATTGGCAAAAATTGTGAACACTTGATGATATTAAACTACCTAATAATATTTTTGAGTTAGCTTATTAACATAGTAAAAGTTGTTTATTTATTTAGACATTTATACTTCATAATAATTGTTTATTTATTTATTTACACATTCATACTTCATAACAATTCGCTTATCTCTACAATTTTTTTAATATTTAAATTTGCTATTGCTTAAATGGATTAAATTACTTAAATTTCAAAAGATGTTTTGTACTTGAAATATTTTTTTTTTCAAGAATTTGAATTTTACATGTTTGTTTATCATCTAAAAAAGAATAATATTATTACGAAAACATGATTTCCTTGAAAATATTTTTTATACGTGTTTTCCACCAAATTATTTCCTTAATATAGGTGGGAATCTAACATAGTTATATAGGAATGAACGTGACTCAATCCTACCCACAAACCTAGTCTAACCCAAGATTGATTTGGACATGTTTAGACTTTGAAATTGAACCATTGCATTTTAATCTGATTTAATATATAATATTATTTTAAAAGTATAAGTTTTATTGAATTATTGTGTATTATTAATAATAAAGATTTATTTAGTTAATAATATTTTTTATATCATGATATTATATTTATAATGAAATTATTTATTTTAAAAATATATTATATTATTATAAAATATACATTAATTTAAGTTTGTATTTATTTTAATTTATAATTTAACTATACATAATGATAAATTTAATATAGTATATCAAAGTTTGACTAATCTGACCTTGTACCATACATTTTTGAACATTAGTTGAAATAGATTTTAGTTTTAGAAAATGGTCCACCCAAAAAATTGAATCAAGTGGACAAAGATGGACTTGGCCCAACTTGGCTCATACTTACACCCCTAATCTAACATTCTCGAGTTAAAATGAATGTTTTATTGTGATAAAAATATTATGATATTTTAATTTTCCTAATCAATATAGTAAAAATATTTGATTCCCGACTAATATTTATAAATATTTTTAAAAATATTTATAATCAATTAAATAGATTTAATCATTCCTGTTAATTATAATTACCAGAATTTATTATTTCTAGTAACCATGATTCCCCGAGGAAGAAAAAATTTTCCTTTTGCCAAACTCGCCCCAAAAGTTTCGATTAAATGAGGTAGAGAAATGTAATTCAATTCGTATTTAACTGCATCATTTAAAAGTTATCCGGTACTCAGATCCATTTTGACAGTTGTACTGATTCACTGAAGATCAAACAATGTTAAATAGACCAAGACAAAACTCATTTATTATGTTGAAAGCAACAATCGATTAAATTTGATTTTAAATCCTTGATGTTTTATATCCATCTATTTGGGTTTGTGCTGCTACTGCACTTTTTATCTGCTACAAAACTTGTGGGTGCCGTGATTACCACTTTTTTATTTTCATTTGTAACGAATGATTGGTGGGTATCATCATAAATGGCAACCTCCAAATACCATACATAGTTTCTATTTGATGATCACATTACTTTGCATATCAGAGAAGCATTAAGCAATAAGCATGGCACTCACTTTATACAACTTCAAATGAAAAGCTACCTTATCATCTATTTGTGCATCAATATCAAAATCAGGCAATAAGCAGTTCTCCAATACAAATAACTGAAATAAGTCAACCAACCTGAATATTTATTTTTTTTAATGCAGTTACATACATTTTCTTGATAGCCACTGTTATACGAAACTCCACACTGTGACAGAATTAAAATTTTGACCTCAATCAAAATCGAGTCCTACTTTACCTAAATTTCTCTACGCTGCTAGCCATCAATTATTAACACCAAGTGTGCCGATTTCGCAAGCAATTAACGTAATTTAGGATTTCATAATGTAAGCATTATTCATTCCCCTCAATCTATTGTCTTACTTGAGGTTGGTATAACGACTATATCCTAGAGTATTTTTTTTTTCCCAACAAATGGCTTCATAAAGAATCCCTCATTCATATGAGTTGCACTGTAATAAAATACATGATGACTCCTACCAATACCATTGATCACCAACCATGCGTCCATCTTAATGCTCGTTAATTTATTTGATGCTTGCACTATATGTTATATGACTCGCATAACACGACAATTGTCGTGGCATTACAATGTTACAGACACAGGCCACTAACATAATGGGAATGATAACTTAGCTGTAACAGCCAAATCTTACCAAGCACTCCATAGAGTTTAAAATACTCATTTGACAAACCAAACTATTTTGCCAGAATTCCTCTAATTTACAACTGGGAAGCCAGATTAAATCCTTAAACATTCTCATTTCTGCTTGGTCAATTTCCAGTGGCTACTTTCTGTTCTCCAACACAATCATCTTCAATAAACCTCTTCCACAGCCAATGCTGCTTCCACACTCTCTCTGTCATCTCTTCAATGGGGACATTCTTTGTCTCAGGAAGCAGGAAAAGCACAAAGGTGAACATGATGAAGATACATCCAGAGAAGAACAAGAAGATGCCGAACTTGAAGAGGCACAACATTGAGAGACAAGCCTGCCCAATGACAAATGTGAAGAGAAAGTTGACACACACAGCAACACCCTGCCCTACTGAGCGACTCTCTAGTGGGAATATCTCACTTGGGATCAACCAACCCAGAGGTCCCCATGACCATGCAAATGCAGACACAAATATGCACATCATCACAACCACCAGCACTGCAAAACCTTTTGATAGGTCATCAGAATGATCCTTCATCTTAATTCCTATTACAATTGCAATCACTAATTGAGACAAGAACATTTGAACACCAGCTTCCAGCAAGAGCATTCTCCGCCCCAGTTTGTCCACTGAATAGATTGAGACAACAGTGGAGAGGACATTTACGGCACCAGTAATCACAGCAGAGTAGAGAGAAGCATCATTCTTGAATCCTAATGTGTTGAACAGAACCGGGGCATAAAACATGATGGCATTGATGCCGGTGAATTGTTGAAAAACCTGTTTTTTGAAAACACCCAAATGGAATAAGCATCAGATAAGTGCGTATTTGAATTTCAGTTAAGAGGGGTTCAAAAGTACTTTTATTTCTAAAGCAACAATTTCTTCAATTTTCATTTTGTGCAGCAGTATTCAGAATAATATATTCAAATTCTCAAAGTACTTTTCTAATTTTTATCCAAAGGAGGCCTAAATCAGCAAGTTGCAATTGAGCATTCTGATCCAGCTAACAATGACATATTGTGACAACTGTGTTAAGAGTAAATAATCAATTTTGCACCCAAATGTGGCAACTTTGGTACTTGAAAGTTTGTGTGTATAATGTAGTCTCCAACATGTCATTTTTCAAACTGATTCAAGGATTAAGGCCATCATATTGAAAAATCATTTGTACAGTTTACAAGAAATAAAATGAAAAGTTTGGTCTTACTACTACTTAATGTAATATATATGATAAACCCTCTCTTGCAAAGAATTGAACATCTAAAGCGTAAAGTTTATGAGACTAAAGATGTAATGGAAATCAAAATTGTATACTTAACTGATTGGAAAATGTTAGAGAACATAGTACTGAGTACTGACCTGCAGGGCAATGGAAATGAGTAGCTGGGGCCGGTTGCTGCGCTTGAGGATATTCCTGAAAGGGTGTTTGACTTGTTTAGCCACACGACTTGCGTCAACAAGTTCCAAGAACTCAGGTTCAATGTTGTCAATGCCACGAATCTTTCTGAGCACAGCTTTTCCCTCTTCCAAGTGACCACGTTCGATGAGACTGTTAGGGGTATCGACCACCAAGAAAGCTCCCAACGTGAGGAGCAGTGCTGGCAAACCACCCAAACCAAGAGATAGCCTCCATCCCCACCCGCCTTTTATTCTGTCCTTGCTCACCAACAATCAACAAGTGCCCAAGGTAAATCAAAACAAAGCAAATGTCACATGCTTTAGAATTCATCATCTAGAACAAATTGCCCATGATTTTGCATGATAATCAAATGCCTTGCAATTTTTTTTTCCATTGAATTCTAGATTATAGGATTTCTTTACAATTTGATCGGCATTAAATAACTGAAACCTTATTGAAGTGAGATTAGTAACAGAAATGGTCATTATTCTGTTGATTTTCAATGAACCAGAATCTCTTTGCAGAACAATTGAACAACTTATATCGGCCATCAATTTTCAAAATTTTGACCAGCACCACTCTCACTGGAGCCATTAATTCAATTTGCTGAGTTCGACTAGTGATGCTTTCACTTGGGCACGAGTAAATAACACCGGGGAGATGGATTAAGCTTCTAATTAATTAAATTAATGGCTATGATTTGTTCTATACACACAACTCGTGATTCGTTTCCGTTGCAATGAACTTGATTATTCAAATAAAAAGTATGAAATTGGGAGCATGCAGGGAAGGAACTTACTTGTTGGTGGCATAGTTGACAAGGTTAGCAAAGAGAATGCCAAGGGTAATATTCAGCTGGAACAGTATATTCAATGCTCCACGTAGTCTTGAAGGTGCGATCTCTGAAATGAAAACTGGCACAGCCTGTCATCATCATATTAAACCAACAAAGAATCAACGATGAGTGAGTTCCGAAAGCCACTTCTTATTACTATTCCACCTCCTGCATCGACACCCCTTATACATAATGTTTTTCGAATAATTAAAAGTTATATATATATATATATATATCTATGTATCGATATCGAAAAAACTCACTTTATAACAGAACTAGATTATATTAATAACATTTATTAAAACTAGGATCTAACCCGATGATAATGTTAGTAGAAATAATTTTCGTTTTTTCTCTCTCTTAATTTATTGTATAATTTATTATACAATTAATGTTTAAGAATAAGTTAAAGTAGAGATTTTTATGTAAAGAAAGTCATTTGAGTGCTTTTTGAATGAAAATTATTTAAGTAGTATATATAGTAGTTTTAAATAATGAAGGATTGATATATTATGGGGGAGGGAGAAAAACCAACTCCAGAACCAAGTAAGAGCCTGCCAATGATGAGCATGGGAAGGTTGGGAGCTGCAGCGCTGAAGGCGACTCCAGCGATGAAGATGAAGCCTGTAATCAACATGGAGGCTCTTCTCCCCTCCCTCCGTGTGATATAAGACGCTAAGAATGTGGACGTACGCTGAACCCGCAAGGTACACACTCGACGTGAATAACTGCAGTTTTTGGTTGTCATACTTGCAGTAGTTGCTCTCCACCACTGTCTTTTTGTACACCTCCGCAAAAAACTTATTCAGGAATGGTGCCATCGATGTCACACCTCCTGAGATGTGAGATCCAAATGAGAGAAGTAATTGAATAAAGAGAGTAAGAAGTAAGAACTAAGCATGCATGCATTACCTGAAACGCCAACGACATATCCGAACATAAGACCTCCGGTAGCAGCCATTATGCATGAAATTATAACTATTGGAGTTATCTTTGCCTCTAAATCGCTGTCGCCTCTGCCACCCATTGTTATTTCCGATAGTTCTTCTTGCTTCAGTGTTTTTGTGACCCTCAGATGCACACTAGAGTGTGAGGAATGTTTTTTTTTTCCTATCACTGGCCTTTACACTTTGATTTTTCTTTTTTGGTTACATTACATTGAAAATAAGTTTCATTTTGCTCTTTCTTTAATTTTATTTTTCCACATCCCATGCACTTTGAAAGGAAATATAGAAAAAGTAATAGTGATAATAAATGATGGGAAATATATAAATAACTAAAGAAAAGCTTAAAAAATATTAATGCAAGGTAAATGCAAAAATTAAGGTGAAAGAATTAAGAAGGGGTGAATTAGTTGTTTGGTTTTGATGACAAAGTAATTATAATTTGTTTTAATTATTTATTATAAATATGTTTAGATAAAGTTCTCTTTGAGCATTCCTAAAAAATAAAATAAAATAAAATAAACATTTCTATAAATTTAAATTCATAAATTATCTTATATATAAGTTAAAAAAAATTATGAGATATAATGGAAATATTTTTATGAATCAACTTATGTATAAAATAATTTTAATTTATATAAAAAAAAATCATTTTTCCTCGATTTATAACGAAGGAATAAATGTATTCCAAAATCTCATTAAAGTAATTTTAGATTCAATCATATATTAAATTTTAGTTACAGCATATTGTAAGATATTTTAACCAAATAAATCACAAATATAAAAGTAATAAAAATACAAATAATTTATTGAAAATAACTTTTCTACTTGTTCAAAGATATAACAAACATCATCATAATTAAAATCCCAACATGATGTATATAAAAATTGCAAAAATTATTTCTTTATGTACTTGGTGATTTGACATATTAATTAATTACATTTTAAGAGGTATAAATAACTATAAAAAATATTATGTTGAAAAATTAAGCTCCATTTTTTTTATTATGAAGATGGTTTGGGAATGTGGGATAAGAAAGTGGAGGGAGGAATGCTAGTTGCCATTATTTTAATTGATTAATTAATTTATTTGATATTATTAATTTTCAATAAATATAAGGAATATTATGAGACTAATTAGTATTATATATTTTATATATTATTAAGGTTAAAATTTTATACTTCGTTGTATATTTATAATTATTGAAGAAGAGAAAAATAAATAATAAAAAAGTCAATATGTTTAACTCCTTTTGAGTCTAAAATATAACTTCAAATTTTACGCATATTTTTCTAAATCCACCACTAAATCGTTCTGATGATTTGAGTTCACGAAAACGTAAATTGAAAATCTTTAATATATTTTCAAGCCTAGATAAGTTGGATATAGCGCGGCTACCTCTTGAATTATTCATTGATCTGATTAAGTATAAATTATTTTACTAAATTATTTTATATTTTATTTATTATTTATTATTTTAATAAATTATTTTACTAAATTAAACCAAAGACAAATTACATGCTAGCTAGGCTATGCTTTTGTCTTCTGAAAGAAAGTAGAAAGCAGATGAGATGAGGATAAAAACGTAGTATACATTACAGACGTTAAATGAGTCGCATAACAGAACAATAAACGTGGCATTACAATTTTACAGACACAGACCATTAACACAGTAGGAATTATAACTTGGTTAGCTTTAACAAGCCAAATCTAAGCAGGCACTCCATAGACTAATTTACAAAGCATCGTCAGTGGCTACTTTGTCTTGTTTAACACAATCATCTTCAACAAACCTCTTCCACAACCAATGCTGCTTCCACACTCTCTCCGTCATCTCTTCAATGGGAACATTCTTTGTCTCGGGGAGGAGGAAAAGCACGAAGGTGGACATGAGGAAGACACATCCAGAGAAGAAGAAGAAGATGCCAAACTTGAAGAAACACAACATTGAGAGAAAGGCCTGTGCAATGATGAATGTGCATAACAAGTTGACACACACCGCCACACTCTGCCCTGCTGAGCGAGTCTCGAGAGGAAATATCTCACTTGGAATCAGCCAACAAAGAGGACCCCATGACCATGCAAATGCAGAGACGAAAATGCACACCATCACAACCACCAGCACTGCATAACCCTTTGAGAGGTCCTCTGAATGGTCCTTCACCTTAATTCCTATTACAACTGCAATCACTAATTGAGACAAAAACATCTGAACACCGGCTTCCAGTAAGAGCATTCTCCGCCCGAGTCTGTCTACTGAATAGATCGAGACAATTGTGGAGAGAACATTAACGGCACCAGTGATCACAGCAGAGTAGAGAGAAGCGTCGTTCTTGAATCCCAATGTGTTGAAAAGAACCGGGGCATAAAACATTATGGCGTTGATGCCCGTGAATTGCTGAAAAACCTGTTTTTTTAAAACACCCAATTGGAATTCAAAGACTAAATTGTATTGTACGTAAATGTTTAGGAATGAAGCCATTGAACAAAAAAAAATGTTTAGCAGTGACCTGCAGGGCAATGGAAATGAGTAGCTGGGGTCTGTTGCTGCGCTTGAGGATATTTCTGAAAGGGTGTTTGACCTCTTTAGCCACACGACTTGCGTTGACAAGGTCCAAGAACTCAGGTTCAATGTTGTGAATGCCACGAATCTTTCTCAACACAACTTTTCCTTCTTCCAAGTGACCACGCTCGATGAGACTGTTAGGGGTGTCCACCACCAAGAAAGCTCCCAACGTAAGGAGCAGTGCTGGCAAACCACCCAAACCCAGAGATAGCCTCCATCCCCACCCACCTTTTATTCTGTCATTCCCATCACCAACAATCAACAAGAGTCCATGGTAAATCAAACAAATGCTTCGTAGATGCTTTAGAATTCATTATCCAGAAAAAAAAAATGGCAATGATTTTGCATGAGCATCAAATACCTTTCACTTTACCATTGAATTCTACATAGAAGAATTTATTTTTACAATTCATGGAGTCCCGTAAAAATGTTACGTGCATTAAATAATTGAAACCTTATTAACCTGGATAATTCTAAATCTTCATTTTAATCCAAAGTATATCATTGATTTATTAAATTTTGTGAATGTTCATGAAGAGGGATGAATGTTACGTGAGTGTTTATGAAAACATTTATTTTTTTTGGTTTAATACAACCATTGTGCAGGTTAACATTTCTGGGTCTGGACCATGTGGGCCTTTATAGCAGGATGGGTTTCCAACCTGAGACTCACGAGAAGCACTTGATGAAATCATGAAAATGATAATTTGTTGTTTCTGCTCCCACTAAAAGATGAAAAAAGAAAGTGTTTGGTTTTTCATTTGTTCCCTTGTTTGAGAAGCTATAAGGCATAGGTTTTGCGTCAAAAACGGCTTTTTTTAAGCAGAAGCAAACACGTCTGCTTCTTAAAGGAAGGGTCAGAACAGAGCAGACAGTTGTTCTGTTAGCAGATGTGAATGAGTAATTGCTTATCACCACGCCTTCGAAGCATTTATAAAAGCCCAAAACACTAAGCAGAGAAGGCAAGCATGTGCTTGACTTTTGGGTTTGTATGTGAGAGGAGTAACAGAAAGGTCATAATTGTGTTGGTTTGCTATGCACCGGAATTCAATCAGGCTATCTATTTTCAAAATTTTGACTACCACCACTCTCACTATAACCATTAATTCAATTTTGCTGACTACGACTAGGGATGCTTTCACCTGGGTTTGAATTTGTTTTATAGAGAGAGGGTGAAATTGGGAGCAAGCAGGGAAGAAACTTACTTGTTGGTGGCATAGTTGACTAGGTTGGCAAAGAGGATGCCAAGGGTAATATTCAGCTGGAACAGTATATTCAATGCTCCACGTATTCTTGAAGGTGCGATCTCTGAAAGGAAAACTGGCACGGCCTGTCATCATCAAATTAAACCAACAAACAACCGATCATCACTGATTTCCAAATTAAAAGCCACTTTTATTACTATTCCACCTCATACCATTCAAATATTAGTCAAATAATTTAATTTTTCCTTTGTAATTCAATTAGACTAAATCGGCTTAGCTTTATCGTTTATAACGGATAAGATGTGGATAGAATTTGTGAACTAAAAAACATAAAGTAGCACAAGTTGAAGTTTTGGTTGCACTTTCAATGTCAAGAACAGAGGTTCTTTACCATAAAATATACCTGATTTTATATAATTAAATGAGAGAAAATACAAAGTCATCTCCATCGAGGGTGTTAACATCAAGTAGTGAGAACAAATTAAAGCCTAAAAGGTGCGTTGAAGTTTGAAGAAACAAGTGGACGATTAAGACTTTGGGAGTGCATTCCAAGAAGCCTATTTATATTTGTCTTTAAAAACTTACCGGTTTTAGTTACTCCCTCCTCTGTTTTTTATTCATAGTCGTTTAAGATTTTGTACAGGATTTAAAAAAATGATTGATATTTTAGTTTTCAAAAATATTTATTATTTACTTTCCTATTCTATCTTCTATTTTTTTATTGTATTTCATTAGAAATATATTACCTTTTTAAATGTAACATTAACTTTACATAGGTAGTTGGAGAAAAAATAGATAGACATTAGAAATAAATAGGCACATTATTCAGTAAACATACATTAATTATCAAGGGTAAAAATGAGAAGAAAAAAATTAATAAGTCATTGATTTTAGTAAAATGACAATGAAAAAAAATGACAAATTCTGACAAAAGACTATGAATAAAAAATGGAGGGAGTATATAATTGCCTTGCATTAAAGCATAATAATTCATATTAAAAAAATATATTTATATATTAATTAATTTTATCTTATGGATAGACCATTTAGTTACAAAATTATTCAGTAATTTAGGATATCAAAGCACCTTTATCTAAATATGTCTAGTATCAGACACTGAAGCACTCTTGTAAATTTAGGTACATTTGTTCATAAGTCTAGGTATGCTCATTCATCAACCTCATACATTGAAAGACTCTTGTGAATTTAGATATATCTGTTCGACAATCTCGGACACTAAAGTACTCTCATGAGTCCAAATACAGTCATTCGACAACCTCAGACACTAAGACACTTTCATAAGTCTGTGAATGTTCATTCAGCATCCTCAGACATCAAAATACCCTCACAAGTAGAGGAACATTCAATCGACACCCCTTAGAATACCTTTATTTGGTGCCCTCGGTTGCCAATCACTTGTAGCATCAAACAAGATAGGTGATCCTTCATTTTATGAAAAGGTAATTAAGATGATTACAATATAATTATAGTACGGAGCAAATTATCAATGTATTATCTAATTGGTAATCCTAGGTTGAGGCCCATTTGATTTGAACTCATTAAAGTTAGTATAAATAATATTGTATTTCAAGATAAATTTATTGTTCACAATATATTTGCATGTTCACTAGATGATTCACTCTCTTCATATAACTCACTTACTTAAACGTCAGAGTATCTTTTATAAGTACATCTCATCTTAAAATCATAAAGTGAATAGGAGACTCGACATTATAAAGAGAGAGAATAGAAGACACTTTGATACAAGTACATCTTTTTTAATAAAATTATCTCTAAAATATTTTTTAAAATTCTAACTCCAATATTTATGTATTTATATCACATTTAAATTAAGAATAATTTAGAAAAAAACCAAAAAGTACTCCCGGTAATTAACATAAATTATTTTTATTTTAATTGAAACTATAATTAATATAATTAAAGATAATGATAAATTAAAAAAATTGTGGGACCCACACCGGAAGGAATATATGATGTTTTTACTACAACTTTTTATTCATCATTATCTTTAATTATATTTTAATCATTGAGGTTGGTCAGATATGTCGGCCACCTTGTATGTAATTAATATTTACACACTACACTTGGTAAAAACAACAAAAACCTAATTTTGTCTTCAAGTAAGGGACACAAGGATCTCACGTCAGCTTATTAAGTTTTTACTCATAAACAACAATTATATTTCAACTCTTCAAGTTATATTAGGCAAAGTATACAATAAAATAAGACTTTGTATTATTAGTATATATATGTTTTTAAAGTCAGCAGGAAACAGAAGCT